TGGTGAGAATGGAAAGGAATTTGGACTGAAAATTGAAGTTGTTGTGGAGGAACATGAACCTAGCGAAGGTGGATCGCATCAGCCAGATGTGCTCAAGGCCAAGGGTAGGACAATACTTACCAGTTATAAGTCGGAATAGCAGATCCCACACCAACCGTCAAATGTCGCATAGTTCTCAGAGGATCGTACCCTCCACTCGAAGCGGCCTTAACCTCGCCATCTTCAGCCGAGTCTGCAGGATTCTCTTCAGAAGCAGCCCGTGGTGTTTGCGCCGGGCTGTCGGAGGGAAACAACAACTGCGCACTCAGGTCGCCGCACAGATATATTACAATAGAGCTGACAACCTGCGTCGCATAAGGTCTCCTTTGTTGTACTCTGGTGTATGATTCCGCCAATCTACCAATCGGTCCTGCCTGAATGGCCTGGAAGAACGTTCGCGAACTCGAGCGGGCGGGGGTGGAGGCAGCTGAAGGTGTGCCTGCGGGTGGACAGGTATGTGGGGAGGATGGCGATGTCGATGGCGATGGACCACTCGATCGCGAAGTGTTTGCTGATGTGCTGTTCTTCTCATGGACAGGATTAGGCGATGCCTCGGAGGAGTGGTGCCTTTGTTGTGATCGTTGTGGCCGAGTTGCTCGTCTGCTCAACTGTCTCACAGTCGCCCTTCCATGTTGCAAAAGATGACCCATGAGAGGCAATGGGATAGGTAATATCACAGTCTATAATCTGTATATGTGCGACACGCAAAAGGCAATCGTTGATCGATTGGCGATTTGAATCGACAAGGGCGATAAGAAAAGTTGCGCAAAAGACCGACGATAAGGCGCACCTCGATGTTGTTTCGGGTCAGCAACAGTGATCACCAGGCATCAAGTTAATGGCATGGAAACTCCATGAGTTCTAAAGAATGATATGAAATAAGCGTAGGCAAAAGGGAAAAAAAAAATATGTTGCTATATGTAAGAAAGAAATAATATTCATTTGTCATGCATAGAATTTGAGTCAAGAGATTAGTCGGCGCCTCAAAGTTATCCGCTGCCGAAGGACCGCAACTTTCCGATTTGGGGGTTTGTTTCTTCATCTTATCGCCGAGGGTCCGATGAGGGTCGAACCATCCAATCAACTTCACCTAAGTATTCAATCTTCGCCAACGCCTTGAGAGAAAGATAGAAGTCGATGCATAGTTCTGTGTAGAAAACTATCCCGTAAATCGGTATGACAGACTAATGTGTCCCTGCGCTGCCCCATTGTCTAACTAAACCACTCTCTTGCCATGCTTGCAAACCGCATATCTTCCACCTCAATCTCCTGATGGCCGGCGTGCTTTCTGGCAGATTCGGCCACTATCATCATCAGATAAGATTATGACACTGATTACTGCATATCAAGTCGAGACCATCTCACATTTGAACTCTCTGATGAGAAAGAATTCCGCAACCTCCTGTATCGCCCGAAACGCGAGCTTATGAATCTTCAGATGAGGACGGCCAAGATCATGGCACACCTGCCTCACTAGTCGCCGGAACAGAGGCTCGCTCGTTAGTAGTCTCGAGCCGATGGGGTTCCTCTCAACACCACCAATTATTCGGGCTGCTATCAATCAGCCCATGCGTCGTGCGAATCAGAGAATCCATGGGTAATTACAGCCCTGTCGTGGTGGCAGGAAGACATGGCGGCAACGCTGGCGGATTGCCAGTCCGTGGCTGCCCTTGAAACGCCGCATTCTGCGCCGGTGCCAGCTTGGTGCGCTCTTCATGTGTAGCCCTGGTCTGACTCGGACTCTGGCCATGGTCGATGAGAATGAGGGTGCGTTCGTCGAGAATGGATTAATATGCACGGGTAGGAATACTAAAGTGGTGGGGATGACTTAGGGAGGGCGCGTGACGAGATATGGAGTTGTCAAGAGACAGGGGAGAGGTAAAGATAGTAAAGGATGGTAAAATGCAGGCTTCGAGTGGAGAGCAAGATCTGAAAGCTGGTCTACTCTAAAGCTGGAGACAGAGAACCGTGAGGTGAGTTTGATATCAATACAAGACTAAGCATAGCTGAGATGAGGCGAGCTTCACACTATCCAAGGTCCATATATGAGTCGAATTGGTATAGACCCGGATTCATTATCAAGGAAGACGGATCCATAGTGCTTGTACCCTATATTATGAGGCCCCAGTGGGTGAGTGCTTGGATTCTGGAGAGCATTGTAAGCTCATATAGTGCAAGAGTGAGGTTGAGTGAAATGTTTGGGATAGCTGATAGTCGAAGTTACATGGGGTAGGCACCTTATATATCTGTGCGGCCTATTATCGTATATCTTCAATCCAACTGCAACATCAATTTCAATACAATGTTGAATGACATCTGGATATCACCTACTATTACATGGTCTTTATGCAGCCCTGTCCATATTCTTTCAAACATATACAATCTGAGTTCTACCACTGGCTTCCTAACAGTTGACGACACAAACATACTAGTCGTTCTATCACTCCGCAGTTGCCGAACTCGACGCAATATGAACAATGACTCTCAATACCAGCAGGTTCCTATCTATGGTATACCTAAATAATTATATAATACCCCGAAATTGCTCGAATAAACCGCGCTGTCAATGTCAGCGTCATTGATCAGGCAAGCCCAGTGTTCTTGGTCATCGGCGACCCTACCATGTATTAGCAAAATGTAACAAGACGCTAGAATCATGCCTACCTGGAGATTACTGCTTAGTTCAAACAAGTTCAGAATCCGAAGAAAGGGCAGAATCTATTGATGGGAATACCTGCTGGATCCGACTGCTCCTGCGGGACATCCTCCTCGCTCGTCTGGATTTGTGCCGGCCCTGACGCTGAAGCTGGGAGGTGCTCAAACACAGTTAAGTTTCCACCACGGGGCGCGACAGAAGCCAGGACGTGAACAGTTCAAGTGGAGCTTCTTCCTTTCTCTCGCAACTACAAGCTACAAAGCTTCGACATTTGAATTATCAGCTGCCTCTAGTCCATGGAAGCACAGAGTATCCCTGCATGCCGTACGCCCCTAAAGGAAAAGAGACGAAGCGTATGAACTGCACCCCGTGTCCTCCAGATACAGAAGCATGTTTTCAGGAAAGGAAAGATCTCCACAGTTGTTGACTGGACTATTGTACATATACACTGCTAAGTAACCTGGCTTGTTCACTCTATCAATCCGACTCAGGAATCCTCGAACAGTGTGTGGCAAGCACTTTTCACCTATGCTAGTCATAGGTTAGCCATGCTTCAAATCGACCACATACGACCACAGGGTGTGGAAAACAGGGCTTCCCGTCCGCTCAGCCGTACTTAAGCCACACGCCGGCCGGTTAGTAGTTGGGTGGGTGACCACCAGCGAATCCCGGCTGTTGTATGTTTTTGTTTTTGTTTCTTTTCTTTATTCTTTTCTGTCATCGGTGTATAGGACGTTGGGGTTCCTATGTCAGATAATGTTTGTTAGCATTGATGGGAAACCACTTTGCCATCTATAGACAGTAACTCACTGTGGGTTGATCAACTCTGGAATGCACTGTCTGTTATCTCAAGTAGGTATCAACTGCTGGGAATTTTCAGACCCTTTTCTGATGTCTAATATCAGGTATCATCTTTTGCTGCGTGTTCTATCATCTCTTGCGGATGCTTCCATTGCTGTGATTGAATTGAGCCTAAGGTGACTTTTTTAAAGCAGTTGGATATCACTGACCTCATCTTTACTATTGAAGTCGTCATCTATCGTTTCTTGGGTCAAAATTATCAAATGAGGAACAGATGGGGGGAAAGAAAAGGATGATAGATAATGGATACTGGACAATAGACACTGGATGAAGGAAACTGATGAAGGAAACTGATGAAGGAAACTGATGAAGGAAACTGATGAAGGAAACTGATGAAGGAAACTGATGAAGGAAACTGATGAAGGAAACTGATGAAGAAAACTGGATGAAAAAACTGATTGGATGATGGATGAGGGAGAGGAAGAGACGACAAGTCAAGAGCGGCAGCCAGCAGACATCACATTTATCTGTTACAGAACTGAACAGGACCAATGTTGCTCACTAAGTATGCAAAGGAAATCATATTTTGCTTTGTTGGAGGCTAAATCAGCAGGGGTCTACGCCTACAGCCGAAGCAGCCACAGAAACGGTATGACATGACTATATAGACTACGGACTTATACAATCTCCTCCTTTACTAGTTATAATGCACCGTTATATTGAGTGACTGTTTATGAGACTAGTTGACAACAAGTACCTTTGTATGATTTGTCTTTTATGACTTACCTGGAAACTTGATTGATGGCCTAGATGTATAAACTGACACTAACAGAATAGACTCTAATTTCGCTCCCACTAGAGAGGTACAGAGTATAATACAGCTATAGTCTTAGGTCTCTGGTCATGTCAAAACAGCAGCATATGAGTAATTCCAACTACGTTACTAGCACATACGACCATAGGGTGTGGAAAACAGGGCTTCCCGTCCGCTCAGCCGTACTTAAGCCACACGCCGGCCGGTTAGTAGTTGGGTGGGTGACCACCAGCGAATCCCGGCTGTTGTATGTTTTTTTTTTCCCTTTTACTCTTTTCTTTTATTTCACTTTGTTGTATGCCCTCACCCAGTTCACTTCACCGGAACTATAAAAGAGCGGGACGGCCTTGTTCGGGACGTTGAGTACGTGGACGAACCACCAACAACGTATTTTCCTCCGGCCCATCTAGGAGCCCGGACACTATAGCCTTCTCCATGGGCAGGTTGTTGTTAGAGCTGAGAACGAAGTACAGGGCAGGTGGCAGCAGGAGTCGGGCCAGGCTATATCGGGAGTCCTCGAGGCGCAAGGACTCCAATCGAGATGCTGCGACTTCAAACAAAAGGAGCCACCGGTAGACCTTGCAAGAGAACAGGCCTACAGAATCCAACCTGCAGCAACAAAATCCGCGTCGTTTTCATCCTGAAGACCCATTTTATGTCGACCAGGAAACACATCCAAACCCCACAAGCCTACATCCCGCGGGCGCCAGTAACCGTTCCATCCGTGGGCGCGAATACACGGTCAATGTAGCTAAATTCGTAACGCAAAACTAGATTATCATCCGCTGTGAAAAAGTCAAAGTGAGAACAGACAGTTTTTGTGTGTTCTGGTCCCAAAATAGATTGGCCAGACAAAGAATATCGACATTGACCCCTGCTGCGAGAAGTTTCCTTCCACGACGAGAAAGGTCAGTATAAGCAAGACGATAACTACTGGGTGCTGACCTGTAAATCACGTTGAATTTGGCCCGAATCAGGTCTCTCTCACTTCTGCGCATGGTCCAGAACAACCCTTTGGGAATGCTATACTGCGTGATACGCTTTCCTGGCTCTCTGGTACTGGGCGCATCTGAGGCCACCTTGACGCCGGGGATGTCAGAACCATCTCCAAAGCGGTAAATCCTCTGGCCCAGAGCGACGCCGGGAACGTTGGTGTAGGCTATGTAAGACACGAACCCGTCCGGGACCAGACCGTTAACATCTTGTTTTTCGTGCTTGAAGCCGACGAGTTGAGGAGTAAAATCAATCTGGTGATTGGCCAGGCGTTCGTAGGCTTCACGCTCCTCTTGTAAACTGTTAGGGACCTCGCCAGAAGCTTGTCTGCGGCGCGTATCGGGGTCAGAGCCTGAGTTCCCTTACTCGGGATCTGCATGTAGATTGTCACTCGTGCCTGTTGAGTCGGATCGCTAGAGCGGTGGCATTCAAACATAGCGATAGACAAGGAAGTGTCTTGGTAATCCTCGGATTCTTTCTCGCTCAAAAGCCCGATGCTTTCCTTGATTTTCACGGTCAGTTTCCAAGCAGAGGTTGAAGGAGAGGCGAATTGGATTTCCCTATTGAGCCAAAGCTCATCAGGGATGTAGGTATCATCCATGACTAGACGAGGTAGCTGGATGGTAGGTTAGTGGATGGTGGTAGATGTAAGTCAAAGTTGTCGGAAGTTGATGGTTATCACATTCATCGTACTGGGTACGTCCCGTGGAGGTATCCTGGATAAATGTCCGTCTTCTCTCTGTTCCACAGAAATTCAACGTTCCATGGAAGCCTTTGTCTCAGAACGTCATACCTACTATCTGACGAGCCAGTGTGTAATATAATATGCCAGGCACATATGTTATTGCACATGACGCTCAGACATGCAAGAGAGAGAAGGGCCTACCCAGGCGCGGACGTCCTCTGGTTCCTCCGTAGGAGTTAGCTGGCAATAGAGATAGAGGGGTGTATGGTGGAAGATGAATATTAAGAACAGACCTAATATAGGACTCATCTCACGTGACAGTATATGACCTAACTCGAGCTGGTGCATAACGATCAGGTCGTTCTCAGGGTTCTTGGGTCAGTCTAACAAATAAATAAACAAATATAAATACACGCACTAACTGATAAAGAAAAGTAGAGAATATAAAGGAACTTACTAGATTAAGAAAGGTGCTTTAATATGAGAGCAGCCTGGAATAGGTCAATCAGTCTCTGCTGGTGCTTGACATAGCTAACATGGCTTGAGGTCAGGAAACTCCTGTTGGATAGCCTGTAAACCTTAGTTAGTTATGCTGCTGTCTGCTACCATTAATAATGAAGGGAGAGCTTACCAGCCAGAGCATTAGCACCGCAATTGGGAAAGCACTGATAATAATCATTTTCTTGGTTTTCCCATTATCGCCCCGCCCCGGTTCTGGATAAGTGTGCACAGCTCAACCCATTTAGTGGAATGTTCAAGGGCACGATTGAGATTCAATGCAAAGGTTGAGACTTCTGGCTTAGGATGCCAATCCTTGTTGGTAATCTGGTCTCCAGTCCCTACAAAATCCCTAGGCTGGTTCTGATCTTCGCACAGGGCTGCAATACTGGGAAGGTTACTTGTAAGGCGGAGGCGATATAGCGATCTCCTAAAACTGCTTATAAACTGAAGGTTGCGCAGCTTGGGCCTGTTCCATGGCTAGATTGCGTATTTGAATCGAGCATTGCGGTCATTGCACAGGTGAGCTCGCATTTTGAAACAAGACATCCATACAAGGCCAAGTACTTCATGAGCCTAAATGCTACGGTTCCGCTAATGCTGGTTCTTTTGTCATTTTCTAATTTCTACTCGTCCGTCCTCTACTAAGAAGGTGATAGAGGGTAGGGCTCGCAGTGGCTGCATCATGAGTAGGTGACCGCATTTACGTCTGTCGATCCAGCCATTGTCTCAAGAATCATCATACTGCTAGGCCAAAGTAATGCGGCGGCGGACGATCTTAGACTGTAGCAGTATTTGACATATTGTCTTGAAAAGGAAGAGAGCAAGCTCCCGAGCAAAAAAGACTCGACGAGGAGACAGCAAGATCTCGAGTTCTGAGTTCGTGAGATTAGTTCTATCTCAGACAACAGTCCTGAATACAAGCAATAATATTAGACGAATTCCTGAATACAAGCAATAGTATTAGACGAATTCCTTTATGAACAAGTTGTTAGTGAATCGGTCATGCATTCTATGCTTGATTGCTGATCACAATAACAGGGGATATTTTAGAAGGGGGTACGTGCTATCGGTCTTCGATAAGAACAGGAGATGTGCCTCGGTTTATACCAACACTGCTTTGATTTGATTTATCATCAACATCGTTCATCTGAGACAAACTTACTGGGGTACTCAGGTATGGGATCATAATTTTTGAGTTGATTAAGAGTAATGTGTTTTGTTGGTCTGAATTGCTCGCTATGAGTTCCCATAAGTCAAAATGGTACTCATCAGACCGTGCTTCCTGCATAACGTTAAGTCGGGATGTATTCGTAGTGATCTCGGGAATTACAGATTCGTTCTACAAGCCTACGACTATGGTGGGGTCTGAGATCAAAATAACGCTAGATCTAGATTCGCCTGGCTCATACACACAGTTAGAGACTCCGAAAAGATGACACGAACTATATATGCTTCCACAACGTGCTCCACGCGAAACTGTCATTCGATAGTTATGCAGCCCAATAATTTATGAATGTATAGTATCAATTCATTGAGGTAAAATGAAAGTGGGTCATACAAGGGATAGACTGATAGATCCCCTGACACGACTCGTACACTAAGGCGTTGGATGGATAAAAATCTGGCTGCCTGACCGAAGTAATCTTCTATCGCGAACTCGACCATCCGAGGGTCTTGAAGGTTTGAGAAGGTTGAGATTGATTGATAGACGATCAACTACAAATGACGGCATGATCGTCTCCTGACTCGAACACTGGGCGATAAGATTTCCTACTGTACTTTGCCAAGAGATAATTCACATCTGGAACAGTATCTTGACTAGGCTAATGTCAAGCAAGAAAATTTTGGTATTAGACCCAATGCCAAGTCCGTGTCTGAGGGCTTAGCGTCGGTGGCAACACCAGAACCAGAAGCATCCAGGAGTTTCATGAACTGAGCCTCGGGCCAAAAACACCAGGAGACTTCCCTTGAGAAATTTCTATTACGTGGCTCTGGCAGATGCGATAAAATTATACGTGATTGATAATCAAGTGAGGACAAATATACAACTTTACACAGCATGGTCCTTAACGGAGATAAGCGGCATCTCAACGTAAGGTACTGACCTGTCTTGACTCTTGCGGAGATTAGACGATCAGGACTTGCAGTTGCAGCAGTGGCTGCAGGTTGTACATTGCTACATTACTAAGGAAAGTCTCCGTAGACGAGGTGCCGAGAGCCGAGTGCTGGGCGACGCTAGTCCTGAAACAGTCGGATTTATGCAAAACCCCCGGCACATTCGTCCCTAATGCGCATTGGGATCAAGGCTGATGATCGATGACGTGACGCTACAATTGAACTCTGTCTACCCTGTACCAGTCCATGCTCTGCAGTTTGATTCATACCCCACACAGAGGTGCACAGGCTCGCCAAATATGATCACGAACTGCTTGGTATTATTGAGACACCGACAAAAATTCATGTCAACCACTGTGCCTGTACCACCTACCTTGTGCTAATGATCCAGACCACGAGGTATCCAGCGTCCATGGATCTCGAGCTTCAATAGATGGCGGCCGCTTGCTCCACATCGGCCAAGGCCGACGTTGGCTAACGGACTAATGCTGTGCATAAACCCCGATTAATGCCATAAATTCCGGCTTTGCGACCCGGTGATTGGCCTGGAACGATTACTATTCCACTTCTTCTTTTCCTATGCGGGTCTATCTATGGATACGGGAGGGCGTTTTCTAGGGCCAAAGCCGGCAGGGGTCCGAAGCTAATGACTCCCAGTGACGGTACCATGAAATCAAAAAGCAGGGAGATAAAAAACTAGGAAAAAAGGGAAAAAATTAAAAAAAAAATGGTTGATACTTGAAGCAAGTTATATATGCATGCTGCTCCTCATTTTCCATCTTTCTTGTTCCGGTCTTCTTGAGTAACCTTATCTGTTATTGATACCCCATAAATCTCTTTTCCTTACCTACCTTACGTTTTTCTGTACATATAGTACAACGTCGACTATTTCCTAATCCAGAACACTATATACTTCACCATCCTCCGCATTCGGCGGTCAATATTCATACTGCTGGATTCCTAATCTCTCTTCATCTACCACGATCGCTATTTTAAAAACAAACAATCTCGAGTCCCTCTTACACTGATATATTCCACGATCAACCCGTATATATCCGCACCTCCGCTCGAGTTCCGCAACGATCAATCGCCCATCATGGCGACCGAAAAAGGGGACCAGAACCCCGAGAAGATTGAGCAGCCCATGACACAGAAGATTCCATACTGGCGACTGGTGGTGGATCAAGGCGTCCTCACCCAGCAAATTATCGACCATCCCTACAAAGGCTCGGGAACCGAGGAGGATCCATACGAGGTTGTTTGGATTGAGAATGATCCCCGCAATCCTATGACATGGAGTCAGCTGCGCAAATGGTCTTTAACCATGACTGTTGCGGTTTCGACGCTGGCAGTCGCACTGGTTTCTTCAGCTTATACCGGTGGTGTTCGAGAGATTGAAGCCGAGTTCCATATTGGAAGTGAGGTTGCTACGCTTGGTGTTTCCCTCTTCGTCTTGGGTTTCGCGATTGGTGAGTTGTTTCCAGTCTTTCTTCGAAGCCTACCTGTTAGAGGCTAATACAGTTAATAGGACCTCTGCTTTGGGCACCTCTGAGTGAGATGTTCGGCCGTCAAATCATTTTCACCGTCACCTATTGCGCACTCACGGCCTTTAATGCTGGAAGTGCTGGCTCTCAGAATAGCTGGACTCTGATCATCCTTCGTTTCTTCGCTGGCGCTTTCGGAGCCTCGCCATTGACCAATGCGGGTGGTGTCATCGCTGACATGTTTCACGCCAAGCAGAGAGGTATCGCGATGAGTCTCTTTGCTGCCGCTCCGTTCTTGGGTATGTATTTTTTTTCCCGCCATTCTGTATAAAGCGACATGCTAACGCTTCTCAGGTCCTGTTTTGGGTCCGATCATCGGTGGCTTCCTCGGAATGAACGGAGGATGGCGATGGGTCATGGGCTTCCTGGGTGCCTTCTCTGGCGCGGTTTGGATTATCTGCACTCTTTTCGTTCCCGAGACCTATGCACCTGTTCTCCTTCGTCGCCGCGCCGAGAAGTTGTCAAAGCACACCGGTAAAGTGTACGTCAGCAAGATCGACATTGACCAGGGCAGAGTTACTCTCAAGGAAGCTTTCAAGACTGCGCTTTCTCGCCCATGGATTCTGCTTTTCAAGGAACCGATCGTCTTCCTCCTGAGTTTGTACATGGCCATCATTTATGGAACGCTCTACATGCTCTTCTCTGCCTACCCGATCGTCTTTCAGGGAGTCCGTCATTGGAACCAAGGCGTTGGCAGTCTTCCATTCCTGGGAATCATGGTTGGCATGATGTTTGCTGTCGCCTACAGTGTTTGGGACAACAAACGTTATGTCCAGGTTCAAGAGAGGCACGGTGGGTTCGCTCCCCCCGAGGCACGCCTGCCGCCCACCTTGATTGCTTCGATTGCCATCCCTATTGGACTCTTCTGGTTTGCTTGGACCAATTATCCGTCAATCCATTGGATTGTTTGCATCATAGCCGGTGCTCCGTTCGGTTTCGGTATGGTTCTGGTTTTCCTGGGCATCATGAACTACCTCATCGATGCATACACCATTTTCGCCGCTTCAGTCCTCGCCGCCAATTCCGTCCTCCGTTCTATCTTCGGTGCCGTTTTCCCGTTGTTCACTACCTATATGTATTCGGACCTAGGTGAGTTTCCTCTTTTGAATCTATCCTTGCTGACAAGGGGCTAATTGTGAAAACAGGAATTCATTGGGCGTCCTCAATCCCAGCGTTTTTGGCGCTTGCGTGTGTTCCGTTCCCTTTCCTCTTCTATAAATACGGCGCGACCATTCGTAAGCGCTGCGAGTATGCGGCCAAATCAGATGCGTTCATGCGGAAGATTGCGGAGCAGATGCAGCAAGCCTCAGAACCAGAGTCTGAGGAGACAGAGGAGCCGGTCTTTGACCGGACGGAGGCACCTGCCCCTGAGCTATCCGATGTCAGCGAGACTGAGTCTAACGTTGAAGAACTTCCGGATGTCCGGCAGATGCGCAGTAGAGCGTCCACGCGGACGGCTGCTTCGTTGCGTCGCGTCGTTAGCTATGAGGGAAATCCTTATGATATCGACCGTGTCAACACTCGCGAGTCGTTCAAGAAATGAACGTCCAGAGAACCTGTTCCCATCCGTCTCTCTCAACGGGCTTCGACCCTCAGTCGTTCATTTGCTCGATTCATAGTCGAGGACGCCCCAAACCTGCTTGACTTAGCAGCGTGCAGATCGGGCACATATACATATTTGTCGATACCGAATAATCCTTATTAACACGTGTCCATAATGCGCTTGTCAGTTGTTACGGCCAGAGCATATGCGCCTTGATTGTGGCAGGAAAAGTTTGTCCTTGTTCAGAAGTCATATACCCGACTGATCTTGACTCAGCTCATGTCTTGTTATGTTTGCATTATAGATGGCGTCTTTGCATTGGAAGAATATTGTTGTATTTATCATACAGCTAATCATATACATATATCTAATTAGAGATCATTGTTCATCCATGGCTAGTATCTTAGTTCTTCCGCAAGTACCGTCGCATCATCAACGCAACTAATGATGGAAATCATCGAGCAAAGGGCGGAGAATCTTTAGTGAAATTAAACGAGTACCCAGGAGAATTCGCCAGCATCTCTGCTGCAAAAACCATGTTGAGAACATCATGTCGCACGCTCGTCGCTCTTGGGTCATTGACCTCTCCTTCTCCAACCATGTCTAGCAAAGCCATAGTCATCATCCCGCTGGCTCGCAGGGGCCGGAAATCCAGCCTAAGGTCCTCCGCAGACTTTGGGCCAGAATTGAAGACAGTGAAAAACAAGCTCTATCGATTTTTGAGGAGTATAGATGTGGCCGCTGAGCGAAGATCTCTGCTGACGACATCTTTGCAAGCGGCTGACTTTGCAAGTAGAATCGCGGATAACGTCCTTCCAAAAGCTGGCCTAGTATCGCCATATCAAGTCGTTTTGATCGTTTGCCCTGTGGCTTTAGCTTGCTATATCTTTTGGGATGTTCTCCTTCAGGCTTTATCGAATGGCGTCAGAATTTAGTCAGTCTCGATATGGTCCCGATATCGTCGTTCCCAATGCGGTTCTCCTCATCCTCCTCGACGTCCGAAGAGTCATCTGTGTAGCCTAGGCGCTCTGCAACACATCTGCCGCTCTACATTGCTGCTTGCTATAGCTCAATCATCCGTTAAAGGCAATCTCGCACTTTCTTTGTACGTGGGTATGTAGAGACCTTTTCGTCCCGCGTTCACGTACGCTTCCGACCAACAGAAGATGCTTTTGGCTCCTAACAACTCACTAGGTCTAGCGGTCTTATTACCTGTCAGAAAGAGTCTATCTGGCCTTCGTACTGTTTACTACAGACTACTTGCAAATGATGATGACAAACCCATGGAACAGGAGAGCGACCGGCTGACAAGTTGTAACTAAGCCGTCCCTGTTCGTTGCTCCCGACCGAAGCAAGGCCCGCGCCGTCAACGAGACCAGTGGCGAAACCAGAGAGTCGAGACATGCGCCAGAGCCGCCTGGCTCGCAGATTTCTTTCCATCTCCCGAACAATATTCCTTATGGAGTATGCAAGGATAGAGCACTACGGAATTCCATGTATCGACTATGTATTCGACTGTACCGCTGAGGAGGGAACGATACAAGACTGTGAGATCGCCGTAGAGCGTCGTCGTCGTCACTGCTACTCCATGCCTCGTCAGTATGCCTTCCTGGCATCATATATAGCATCAACGTCATCATCATTCCATTTCCTAGTTTTTAGTACATTTTTCATACATTCTATCCTCTTAAGTATCGCAGGCACTCATGACTTGATCCACTCTATCCGTCTGTCGTAATAATTATGAGCAGATCGCCTGCGTCAAACAGTCGCCACTGTGCCGTCACCAAGTGCAGAATCGCTGCGGACATGGAGCGACTTCAATCGCCTATATTGCTTCGGGGAGCTGATGAGATAGGAGCACCATGTCGAAACTGATACTTTTTCGCGTTGTAACTATGAATTCGTTTGTCAAGCATGGTTCTACGATGACCTAGCATGGTAGCTAGCACGCGGGCGACTTGCGACCGTGGCACGTCACCGCTACAGAAACAGTGGCAGGAGAATAGTTGAGAATGATTGCAAAAAGATACGGACTGGGTTGAATTGATGTAAACATAGATATTCGCATTTCGCGTCTATGTCGCGACGTGGTGCTTCCCGAAGGACAGCAACTCGAGAGATCCATAATGTACATGAGCAAATCCCAGCCGCTGAATCGGCAGCCTACTATTCATCGTGAAGAAAAACTAGAAACCCAGTGCCGAACCCATTGATATTCGAAAGCAAGCAAACCCATCATGTATCGCCAGTGATCATAAAAAAGAAAACAAGAACCCCGTTATCGCCTTCCCAGAAGAGCCAACCGGAAAAAGACACAACTCATTAGATAGCATGCATCTAAGAGCGCTCACCGCGGAGACGACGGGCGAGCTGAATGTCCTTGGACTGGATGGTGACACGCTTGGCGTGGATGGCGCACAGGTTGGTGTCCTCAAAGAGGGAGACGAGGTAGGCCTCAACGGACTCCTGAAGAGCACCGATGGCAGAGGACTGGAAGCGGAGGTCGGACTTGAAGTCCTGAGCAATTTCACGAACAAGACGCTGGAAGGGCAGCTTGCGGATCAGGAGCTCGGTGGACTTCTGGTAGCGACGAATTTCACGCAGAGCGACGGTACCTTGGGGCAAATATTAGAACATGGTCTTGGATAAACTGGCACATAACATAAGGGACTTACCAGGCTTGTAGCGGTGAGGCTTCTTGACACCACCGGTAGAGGGAGCAGCCTTACGAGCGGCCTTGGAAGCGAGCTGCTTACGGGGAGCCTTGCCACCAGTGGACTTACCTATTGACACAGTTAGCAGGATGTTTCTTAGTGACGCGTGGTTGTTGGCCAACTGACGCGACCGTGATACGATCTTGGCAGAGGCCGACGACAACAAGAGAAACGACAGCAAGGTTAATACATACGGGCAGTCTGCTTGGTTCTAGCCATTTTTAATAATTAGGTTTGATGAGATTTGATGTTTTATTGATGAAAAAGTGATGGTGTTGATGAAAGATGGATGGTCGAAATGACGAAAGTGTCGTGGTGGTGAGTAGATGGAAGAAGGATGGAGGAGGTGGGTGGGGGGCAAGGTATTTGTAGTAAGCGAGAAGGGGTGGTGATCTGGGAGGGTGGTGTTGGGTTGCCAGCAAAAATGGATGGTCTTAGCGCGGTTTCTTTTGATCACAAAAAGTGGTCGGAAAGCAGCACACCATAAGTCCTGATTTCGGGGACTGAATTTTGGCAGGAACCATGAAAGTACGCAGAATGCGGGCGGCCCTTGCTCGGAGCGCTAAGCGAGACAGCTTCCCGCATCAGCCAATAGGAACACAGGATCACTGATATAGAATGTCACCCCAGAACGTCTTGATCCCAACCACAAGTGTAGAATGTCAAGTATTTCGATCATCTGGAATTCTTCTAATAGTACTTAGGAATTTTTCTAATTATTTTACAACTCTGATCAGACAGAGTGAGCGACATTCCGTGAGGATCAAGGCATTCCCAACGGGATCAATCACTGTTCCGTCACGCTGCCGAGAGATCAAACCCGCTGCGAGGATCCTCACTTCTGATTGGTCGATCCCTCTCTTAGCGTGTGATTCCAGTAGCCTCCCCGCGCTCCTCTTTCCTCTATACAAATATCTCCCGTCCCAAACTTCTTCAAGCTCTTCTCTCCTCCATCAATCCTATCTGTCATCCACTTAAAGTCGTTATCCCGACATCTCCACTTATTTAAACACACACAAAGTCCTTTTTGACTCCCATCTATCATCATGACTGGACGTAAGTAGCTTCTCTTTTGATCACAAGTAATACGCGACTTGACTGCAGTCACTGACGCGTTTCTTCTCTACAGGCGGCAAAGGTGGCAAGGGTCTTGGAAAGGGTGGTGCCAAGCGTCACCGCAAGATTTTGCGTGACAACATCCAGGGTATCACCAAGCCCGCTATTCGTCGTCTCGCTCGTCGTGGTGGTGTCAAGCGTATCTCTGCCATGATCTACGAGGAGACCCGTGGTGTCCTCAAGACCTTCCTTGAGGGCGTCATCCGTGACGCTGTCACCTACACTGAGCACGCCAAGAGAAAGACTGTCACTTCCCTCGACGTCGTCTATGCTCTGAAGAGACAAGGACGTAAGCATCTCTGGTTATTGCCTTTCTTGACGTGTCTCTGACAATCTTCTCAGGCACTCTCTACGGTTTCGGTGGTTGAGCGCTCTCCTCTTGCTTTCCTTTTTTCAGCCATCCTGCGCGGTCGGCGCGTCGATTGTCCTTCCGCAGCAGTGACGCGACGGTTTGCTTTTTCGGGTTGGTTCACGGTATGACTGGGACGTTGTGGTGTTTTCTTTGATCTTTTTAAAGTGTCATGGGTCTCTGGGTTTGCTTTTATCATGCTTTATTTTACTACCCTTGCGCGTCCACTACTGGTCTGCTAGTGTGCGTGTTTGAATTTCTGTATCATAGCGGCCTCTATGCTTCTGGCTGTGCCCCAGGCTTGAAGAGATTGCAGCATCAGACGCAATCTAATATGAATACGATCAGTCGAAATATTCAATCTCTCTAGACTTGTAGCTCATGTGCCTGTAGCCCTCTTTTTCTTTGCGCCTTGACGCGTCTGATCCTGCTCCGGTCTTGTCGAATTCCTGCGAATACCTTGACTTCGCCATGGTCGTGATATGCTGTGTGTTAGATTATGTATTTTCAAGTGACTAAGCGTAACTGTGCGTGACATTTCTTCTGCCCTTTTTCTATAGTAGCCGGTTCATATCCGTCTATTGTGGGTATGTCTTCGCTTGTGGGTGTTGATGTTGTGCCTTTCTGCCTGATCTGGTGCGTCGGACGGTGTTCGATAATATGTCTGATCTTGGCTTCAGTAGATATTAAATTGGTGATTTTGAGAGTTTTATTCGTGTATTTGTCATCTAGTAATTCAACAGTGCTAATAACTATTGAATTTTTATCTTGTTATGTTGAAGTACACTGAGTTTATTTGAAATGTGGTGCACTGGTTATAGGGAACAATATATATAATCTCGACGAACATATGGAATAAGCGAAATCGAACAAAATTCCCAGACACAGACACTTTCCACATCTCGATTGACATGGAACACAAGCAAAGCATACAAGGCCTATAACAAAACGCTACAATTCGATATTATATCATACACGACGCTGGTAGAGCTGTAGGAGGGATATCTGCAGGATCGACCGCAAAAGACTACCCGACGAAGTTTTCACTACAAAAGTCGCGGTAATGACTATAAAAACCGGATAAGCTTATAGTAGAGCGTTAAGATAGTTCAGCTCAAATATAATATTTATCCCAAAAAGCTCTGCAGGCCGAGGATCATGAAAAATCAAAGACGGTATCTGGTTACCCTACAGACCGCGTTCATGGCGGAGTTGGACCCGGGTTCAACTTGGGGTTCAACTCTGGGGTTCACCTGACCGGCAAGGACACCACATCGTCTCATCTGCTCCGCAACGCAATGCATTTGCGATGACCTTTCGAGTCAACTACCTGCCAAGATAGGCCACATAAGAGTAGAAGGACAACCTTATATTATACACCACATATCACATATGATGGAATCTACACCCTTTACCGCACCCAGTTCATCAGCTGTATCAGCACACTGGAACTGCGGATTAAGATGTTCACCACTAGCTTCCACCCAACTGAACCCAGTGCATGGTCGAAGCTTTGAAGGCATAATGCACGCGACACAACTCCAGCTGAATTATCCATACTGAACTGACCCCAAATTGAAAACCACAGCTCTACTGACTACACGTAATGCATGCAATCCTCTGCCCTCCGCCCTCCGCCCTCCGCCCTCCGCGCTCCATGCTCCTGCCCCTGCTTCCACATGACATGGGATGCTGCTCAACCCCTGCAACTGACCATGGGATCTAGATACGACCCGAACGGACCTCCAGTCACAGAATATTAACACGGCTGACTATTGATATCGATTCACTAGCGATAATACCGAAGCACCAGAAACCAAGATAAAGGGTTCAACATCCAACGAGGGAAGGAGGCGCGCGGCAGCGGTATAAAGAGGAAAATAATACAACATATGACCCCGCGGTCATCGCCGGATATACGAACTGGTGACACTATCTGGTGTCGTTAGACTCGTAGCTCCGATGAGAGGACATTATAGCACGCGTGGACGGAAGCCCCCTCCAGTGGACTTGGACGCGCCCGTGAACGAAACCGAGACAAATACAGAGACAGATAGGACAACAAATCGGATCTGACAGCAGCTAAAAACACACACACCCTACAAAGCCCAGCTTCTGACTCACTGGCCACCCCATTAACCCCAAATGCGTCACAAATATACACAGGATAGCCGTATCAGCAGGGACCAAGGTCAAGCGGGGTGGTCGTCCTAAATGAGACAGGCAGTGTACTCCGTAGACTTCGTAAGTAGCACTGTAGCTACAGGACCAGGATGCATTGCTTGGTCGAGGCCATCAAGTGTTCCATATTTGACGCGTTATTATTGAGAGCAACTACACCGCTCCGACAAGCACCAGCAGAGCCTAAGGCCCAGATGCAGAGACAGTCACCTGCTGTAGCCCCCTTCTGCCTTAGGCCACGAAGCTCTTCCCAAGTTCGAAGCCGCAGTCGATCACGGCTACATCACTCCATACTCCATCCTCAGACATACCTGGATCCATCCGACAAGGTATGCGACCAGGAAAAGCTTATCTCTTTGATTCATGACTCCTCTGCGCGCATCGATCTCACACAGGATACGCCGAGTATTTCAGAACACAGAGCACGCAGGTCAACGACAATAGACTCATTCAGCTGCCAGTAAGCATTCCTCGTATTATCTCAATGACCGGAAATTTGCGGCTCAAGCTGCTAGGATACCCCACCTCTTGTAAAATGACACCTTGTTCAATGCACTCTCGCAAGGGAATACATGCACAACAAGCCTTCAGCCCTTCCCGCCAAGGAATGTGAAGGACGAGCGAACATTCCTTGATCAAGCACACCGGCCTTTCACACAAGCTTCTCCCAGCCTTCAACAGTTCAAGTTGACAATTGCACGGAGTTATTCTGACCGAATTGCAATGGAGAGAAGCGGTCCTTGGCACGGCCTTGGCACATTCCTGTTGCGCCAATCATTGACAGATCTTCCTCACACGAGCTGGTGTCACAGACTAGAGATCGCGCCACGGGCCAGTATGAGACGGGGCGTAAATGCACATGCGGGTTTGTGTACCTCCCTGGAGGGACGATGCGAGGGCTAAAATGTCCTGGTGTCGCTCAAGGGGCGGTTGACGAACCCTGACTCTTCAAAAGACGAGAGGGGCCGAACAGGCAATTGCAGCACTTGAGTACGCCACAAGATTGACATGAAGGATCATTTGAATTTGGACCGAATCTGATATTGTGTAAGCGACAAGCGGTCTCAGCATCTCTTTCAGGAGATTTCCAACCTGTAGTGCGACCGCACATTCCAGTTCAGGCCATCAGATTCGCCAGGCTTCTTGGAAAAACTGGCCCGTAAACACGGACGGGATTTTCATACCCTGCAGGTCAGTATGGTGGAGGGGAAACCAGATTGATGGGTTGCACAAGCTGGTGAGACTAATAATTGGCAGAAGATGGGTGCGAGTTCGTGCTACTCTTAAGCTCGGCTTTTACTATCCATCGAGGGCACATAGAGCCCTTGCTGCTCGGTTCGTCTTGATGCCGCAATATCGCTCATCACCACGACCATAGTTTCAAGAAGGCACACCAGCATGCCTGCGTTGCTTATAGCAATACTTCTGCTCGCTGTATCGCTAGCAAGAGGAGCATCCAATGCGACAGGAATTGATCCTGTCGACAATTACTGTTCAAGACTGTATCACCAGTCAACAGTGAAGAACGAGACTCTGTACGTCGACGGAGGACTCGAAGTCTTCGTGGCGAAAAGCAACAACGGAACCCCAGAAGGCGCTCGAGTAACCGGATATAGTAGGTTCTTTTGGTGCCCTTTCGAGCAGACTCACATCAGAGGCGCTGACCATGCCTAGACACTGACTTGATCGAGGTTGACCTGAAGTCTTCTTGGGACTGGAAACAGAATGTATCGATCCGGGCTGTCTCGAAAAAACCGAACCCCAGAACTGGCACAGATCCGCCTGTGGTGGTTCGTGGGGCACTGTATGCGGGAGCGCCATCGGACTCGAGCATTTACCAATATGGCGGAACTGTCTCATATGTGAACACGAGTTTTCCTGGTTTCCAAAAACCAACATCGTCACAGTATGCGCTTTGGTCGTACAACACCAGCCGTGGCTCTTGGGATCAATTTGACGTCACACTGGGCGCTGAGTATCGACCTGCAGGGGGAGCGTATGCCGAGGCTCCAGACCAGGAATTGGCATTTTATCTCAACGGATACATCAACAACGGGACATCGAATGACCTTGAGAACTCGGACGACCTTCTCCGCTACCTGGATGGATTGATCGTCATTGATACCCACACACAGATGGCGACAAACATATCCACGAGCTCACTAGCAAACTTTCCACGAGTCAAGGGTGGCATGGTCTACATCCCTGGCATAGGACCCAAAGGCATATTGGTCGCAGTGGGCGGTGTCACCAAGCCAGTGAGTGACGGTAGCGCGTCCGACGAGGGAACCTACGTATGTTCAGACGCAATGTTCGGTCTGTGATTCGACGCTGATCAGTTCTGTCAATAGGTGCCCTTCGACGAGATCGATATCTTCGACATATCGTCCGCTTTCGAGGGCGACGATAACGGCATCTGGTATGCACAGAAAGCGTCAGGGGACATACCGACCGGACGGACGGAYTTTTGCTTGGTCGCTGTCTCTGCAAAGGATAATTCCAGCCACAATGTATACATGTACGGAGGCAAGGGCGCAAACGAGTTATACGACGAGATCTACGTGCTATCTATCCCGTCCTTCACGTGGACGAAAATCTTCGAGGGAAAGTCGCCACGCTACGGGCACACCTGTCACCTGGTAGCCAACCGACAGATGTTGACAGTGGGAGGAGCATTGTCTGAGGACCTCTCTACGTGCGACTGGGAATACAGAGGCGTTGCCATCTACGACATGTCTACATTGACATGGGGCAGTGTATATGATGCGTTTGCTGCAGATTACGCAGTCCCTGCAAAAGTCTACGAAGTGGTTGGCGGGGGGTAAGTCTGCCACGCCA